AAAATAGAGAAAAAGACAATAAAGGAAGGAAAAAGAAGAATGAATAAAGAAAGAAGAGAAAGGAAGGAAGGAAAGAGCCAGGTGTGGTGGTGCATGCCTGCAATCCCAGCACTTGGGAGGCTGCGGCAGAAGAATTGTCTCCAGTTCAAGGCCAGCCTGAGCTCCTTAGTGAGTTCAAGGCCAGACTGAACTATATAGTGAGACCATGTCTGACAGAGAAAGAGAGAGAGACAGGAAGAGGGAGAGGGGGAGGGGAGGGGGGAGCTGCTAGCTCCATTTCCAGCACGGTGTGAGAAGATCCAGGTTTTGTCTGCCAGTAGGTGGCAGCAGAGTAACACCAAAGCGCAGTTCTGGATCCTGTTGCCTCCCACGACAAGCAACTTCCGGCTGACTTCACGCCCGGAGCTGTGTGACTGGCAGAGGTAAACCATCCCCAGATTCACGACATACAGAAACTGAGAGATAACAAATATTTACTGTTTTGAGCTGCTACACTTTGAAGTCATTTGTTACTTGCAAAAGATAACTAATAGGGCTGGGGATTTAGCTCAGTGGTTCCGGCGCCTGCCTCGCAAGCGCAAGGTCCCGAGTTTGATCCCCGATACAAAAAAAAGATAACTAAATACACTATACATTATGCCATTCCACCGCAAATATTTGAATATGTATTCCTAATATATGACTTTCAAAACCACTACAATTAAAATGTCACATATAAAAATTAAGGATTATTCAATAAAATCCAATATCCAGGCAGTGTAGGTGATGATAGCACATTCTGAAATACTGTGATATCTCTGATTTACTTTGAAAGATAATAGGGATTGATGGATGAATTAGGGCATACATAGGTGGCTAAATATATGATAAAACAAATATAGCAAAATATTTATTGTAAAATCTAGGTGTTAGGTATACAAATATTTAAGAGTTTTTCACTTTCTTTTTTTTTTTTTTTTGAGACAAGGTCTCATTATGTATTTTATGCTGTCCCTGACCTCACAATGGAGCCCAGGCTGGCCTCGAACTCATTGATTCTCCTGCCTCAGCCTCCCAAGTGCTGGGATTGTAGGTGTGTGCCACCACACCTGATGAATTTCTTCATGTTTTCTATGTTTGATAATTTTCATAATAAAATGTTGAAATAAGTCAATCATGATTCAAATTTCCAATTGTCAAAAAAAATTTTTTTACTGTTTGTTTATGTCAAGATCCAAATAAAATCCTCATATTGAGATTGACTAATACAGAAGTTCTATGTCCTTTATGCCACAATATTTGGACATCTTTTTGTTATAGCAGCTAAATCTTCATGTTAGTACAGGACAGCAAAGCTCTTTATGCTGGATATCAGCCTATTTGTCTGCAAAGTGACAAAACCATTCCCAAGACCTTCACAATGGCCATAGCAGCTCTTTGTTTTGTTTTCTTGTCTTTCTTCTCCTCCTGGTACTGGGGATTGAACCCAGGGTCTTCACAGTGAGCTACATCTCCAGCCCTACTTTTACTTTCTGTTTTGAGATAGCATCACACTGAGTTACCCAGGTTGGACTGGAATTTGCAATCCTCCTGCCTCAGCCTCCTTGAGTGCTGGGATTATGGGCATGTGGTACTGCACCTGACTGGCTGCTTCTTGATTTGGGCTTCTTGACCCTAAGTCAGTGCTACAGAGGTTCTGAACTTCATCCCACCAGGGGCACATTCAGAACAGCTTACCTCACATTCAGAACAACAGCTTTCCTCCTAGCAGGAGGATTTTTAGGTGTTCTGTGAGGCACTCTGGGGAACAGCCCAGAAGCATGAGGGGCCCCACATTCAGGGTGCAATGCTCTGCAGCTGCCAGCTTGAAACTTTTGATAACATTATCTTTGCGTTTGTGTTTTGTAAGAGAAGCCTGTGGTACAGTGGAGCACGCACCAGGGGCTGGGAGCCTCCTGTCTGCTGTCACCTCCCACCACTCTCTGCCACCCTGAGACAGGGGCTTGGATGCTTGTTATGCCTCCCAGGAGCCTAGGTGTGGGTACAGGGAGGATTGGGGTGTTGCACTTAACGCTCCATGGCCTTTTATGCCAGGGAAGGACAGGGCAGGGCTGGCAACAGCTACCTCCTCCCCAGGTTGCACACCATGGCACACTGGACAGATGGCCTAGCAGGGGTCAATGTCTTGCCTACCTTGGATCCAGGTCCCAATCCCTCTTGGGCACAGAGCTTGCATTATCCAGGGCACCCACACCAGGTAAGGAGGGTGCCTGGTTTGACCTTTCCTTTGGGCAGGGAACTGCAAGCTGGTCTAGTGGCTGGTGGGGAAGTGTCGGGGTACACACACAGTTTAGTGACTGTATTCACCCAGGAGTATCCTTTGCCCTAGGGAGCCCAGCATTAAATAGCTGGTTTAAAATATCACCACAAGCTGGGCACAGAGACATGCATCTATAATCCAGGCTACTTGAGAGGCTGAGGCAGACACAACTTCGAGGCCAATTTGGACAACTTCCTTAGCAAGACCTTGTCTCAAAAAAAAGAGAAAAAGTTAGGAAGGGTCAGGAATGTAGCTCTCACTTGCCTAGCATGTGAGAAGGCCTGAGTTGAATCCCTAGTACCACAAAGAGCAAAACAAAAAGTAAACACCATGACAAGTTGAAAGAGATCACAGAAGGAAAAACTTTTCCACCTTAGTATTTCTATTAATATTTTTCTGCTGTTTGAACAAGGAATCTTGCACTTTGCACAGCATTATGCAGCTGTTCTGCTGAGAAGGCACCTTTTTTTTTTTTTTGAGACAAGTCTCACTAAGTTGCTTGATTGCTCAGGCTGGACACCTGGCAACTTCTATTCTTTAAAAATCACCTAGCTTCAGTACTTAGCTGCTGTCTCCTGGTGGTGTTGAATTCCCCTAAATGCTGAACATTTATCACCTTTTCCTGTCTGTTGTCCTCAGTCCTGTCGTCCTTCAGCATGCACTCAAGATTAGTACATGTTACCAAAATGTGCTCGCTTTTCTCAGCACTGGCTGCAAGTGAGTACGGGGGCAGCATTACTCCTCAGTCCCCGTGAGAACCATATGCATGTCTGTACACACACATACATAACACACACACACACACACACACACATGCATGCACACACCAGGCATATGATTCCATAAAGCTGGAATAATGCAGATTCTTTGTCCTAATGCTAATGAGTTTCATAGTGTTGACTCACAGAGCTTGAAGTAGACCAGTTATTCCTTCTGGCCACCAGTCTTGGATTTGAAAAAGGAGATAATTATTCTTTCTAATCCTTCATTGTTTGCTGCCTTGAGTACTGTAGCTTTGTTATAGATTAGGGCAGGATGCCTTAAGTTTAAAAACTATTGAATCAATATAGTGAAAATGGCCATACTTCCAAAACTACTATATAGATGTAATGCAATACTGATTGAAATTCCAATAATATACTTCACAGAATTAGAGAAAACAATCCAAAAATTCATTTGAAAGCAGAAGAAACCTAGAATAGCAAAAGCAATTCTGGGCAACAGAGACATGGCTGGGGGTATCACAATCCCCAACTTGAAACTATACTACAAAGCTACTGTGATAAAAACAGCATGGTACTGGCAAAGAAACAGACCCGCAGATCAGTGGAATAGATTAGAAGATGCAGAAACAACTCCAGACGTACTCGGCCACCTCATCTTTGACGAAGGAGCCAATCTCCCTCATTGGAGAAAAGATAGCCTGTTCAATAAATGGTGTTGGAAAAACTGGATTTCAATCTGCCAAAGATTAAAACTAGACCTATACCTATCATCGTGCACTAAACTAAGATTGAAGTGGATTAAAAAGCTAAATATCAAGACAGAAACAGTAAACTTGCTGGAAGATAAGTTAGGTACAACTCTCAATGACATTGGCATAGGAAAAGACTTTATGAACAAAACTTCAGTAGCACGGGAACTAGCACAAAGAATCAACAACTGAGACTTCATCTTATTAAAAAGCTTCTGCACTGCAAGAGAAACCACCAACAGAGCTAAGAGACAATCTACAATATGGGAAGAAATTTTTAGCAGCAGACAAAGGGCTACTATCTAGAATATATAAAGAATTTTTGAAAATCAGACCCTCCAAATTCAAAGACCCAATTCAAAAATGGGCATCAGAAATGAACAGACATTTCTCAGACAAAGAAGTAAAAACAGCCAACAAATATATGGAAAAATGTTCAACATCACTGGTCATTTGAGAGATGCAGATGAAAACAACACTGAGATTCCACCTCACCCCACAAAGAATGGCGGCTATCAAGAAATCAACCAATAACAAATGCTGGTGGGGGTGTGGGGAGAAAGGAACCCTTCTCCATTGTTGGTGGGAGTGCAGACTGGTGCAGCCACTGTGGAAGTCAGTATGGAGATACCTCAAAGAACTAGGGCTAGAGGTCCCATTTGACCCAGCTATTCCCCTGCTGGGTATCTTCCCCAAAGAATTAAAAGAATCATACCACAGCGATATATGTGCACCTATGTTTATAGCGGCACAATTTGTAATAGCTAAGGATTGGAAACAGCCCAAGTGCCCATCAACTGGAAACTGGATAAAGAAAATGTGGTTTTTTAATAAAATGGAGTACTACTCAGCCATAAAGAACGGGAAACTAGAGTCATTTGTAGCTAAATGGATGCATATTGAGGCCATCCTCTTAAGTGAAATAAATAGGACACACATGTGTAAATGCCGAATAGTATCTCTAGTGTGAGAAATTGAAAGTGTATATAATGATGAAAATGATTAAAATGAAAAAAACACAATTTTTATACACTAGCTTTCATATATAAGGCAGAGACAATCACCCTAAAAATGAAGTTCTGATATTTTTCTGCAGAGATGACAGGTGTTGAAACGCTGTTACAGCTCTCTGTGAATGTGTGCTGTACGAAATAAACTTGCAGATCAAAAAGAAAATCACCTAGCTTTAGATATTTTAGTATAGCAAACAAAAATAAACTAACTCACCAAACTTTCTGGTCCAGTCTTTAGATAGATTTCTGTTTTCTTCCCACAGTGCATTAATCCATTGGTAATAGCAGAATGGGCTATTAAGAGGTGAGCCTAGTCAGAAGTGGGTCTAGGGCCAGGGATCTAGCTCAGTGGTGCCACCGCCTGTCTTGAAAGTGCAAGGTCCCAAGTTTGATCCCTGGTACCAAAAAAAAAGAAAGAAAGAAAGAAAGAAAAGATACTGGGGATTTAGCTCAGTGGTTCCGCCGCCTGCCTCAAAAGCTCAAGGTCCTGAGTTTGATCCCTGGTACCAAAAATAATAAATAAATAAATAAAAAGAAAGAAAAGAAGTGGGTATAAATAAATAAATATTTTTTAAAAGATGTGGACCTGGAAAGGTGTATTTTTGTCCCTGGCTCCTCCCTTCTTTCTCTTTGCTGCCTGGCAGCCTTGGGTTGAGCAGCTCTCCCCTGCCATGCCCTTTCTCCATGCCATTTCTGCCTCGAAGCTATCCCACCGTGCACTGAAATCACCACAATCTTGAGCCAAAATAAACTTCTCCTCCTTTAAATTGCAGGTGTCATGTGTTTTGTCCTAGCAACAAGAAAGTAACTAATATACTAGGCAACTTAGCATTTTTGGGAGACCCTGATTCAAAATTGAAACAACAAAAAGGTTGGGGATGTAGCTCAGTACTAACACCTTGAGTTCAGTTCCCAGTACAAGCAATCAATAAATGGCTAGCTAGCAATAGGTGAGTGGCTTATGTGTAGCCAGACACTAATGGGGATGTATAGAAAGATCTCGGTGATGGCTAGAAGCTAAAAGAACCACAGAATTCCTATTTTATTAAAGAGGTGGGAGTGACTAAGTCAGAAACATTTAGAATATATTTCCTTTAATAAATATTTATCAAGTTCACCCATATGCCAGACGCCGTGGATACAACCGAGTCTAAAGTCAACACACAGCTGAATAGAGCAGCTTACACTATTGTCCAGGGTGAAGAACCAAGTATATGTGTGTTGATGGTAGTGGGTGGAGGTGGGGGAATAGGAAAAAGTCAAAATGTAACATGGTCTTAGAAGCTGGATCACTAAAAGCAGGATGAAGCTGGGCATTTCTGCCTTCATTTTATTACATAAAGCTTTGGGTCAGCTCTGCACGCAGGCATGTTAATCACTCAGGGAGTGGGCTAGGGGTTTAGCTCAGTGGCACCTTGCCTGCCTTGAAAATGCAAGATCTTAATTGAGTTCAATCCCTGGTACTGGAAAAAAAAAATTCACTCAGGGAGTGTCTGCCTAAAAAATAGTGATACAAGGTTTAATAGCCCTAAATTTACCTCATCTGTCTCATCCCCCTTCAAGATTAAGGACATCAACAAAAGAGTAACAATGTAATTTTCAGGATTTGCAGTGTCACCCAGTTGCCAGCTTTTACAATGTCCCTTTGAAGTGATGCCAAGAAGTCTCCAGCCATTGTCCCAAACCTGCAGCAGCTGAGCAGTACAGACCGTCTCGGAGCCAGAGCAATTACCCCATCAGGGAACAAGGCTGCTCCCTTAAGATAGGACCAGAATGGCCACCTTAAGCAATGATGGCTCTCCCAGAGCCTGGCAGAACCAGCCCTGAGGAAAAGTTCACCAGATGAGGCTCGGGCAGGGTTGCCTATATTGCCAGTTATGCAAAACCCCAATTATGTAAACTCCCAACCCTTGCCTTTGTTTTCCTTTTCTCAAAACTACAAGATCCTGTTAGCCACTGGAAGACAGGTCTTGAACCTCTTTCTCTGTACTTCTCAGCATGGAACATGCTGATACCCCATAACAAAATAGACTAACAAGAAAAAGGACCTCAAAATGTATTCATGTTTTATGTAACACGGGAGGCTTCAGAAATGAAGACCTAAGGAGCCACACAAACTGTTCAAATGCATGCTAAGGTTCACTGAAGCAAAGACAGACATGTAGAAGTATGATTAGACACAAAGTGTATGATCTAAAGGTGGTGAACTGGGGGTAAAAAGGGGGTCACCAGCAAGGCCTGTTTGTTTAGATTCTTCCTAGGCTAGAAATAGGGTAGGCCCTCTCTCAATTTGGAAGGGAGGTGTAGTGTGGATTGAACCTAGGGCCTTCACACTGAGCTATATCTCCAGCCCCCCTCCCCCCAATTTTTAAATTTTGAAGCAGGGTCTCTCTAAATTACTAAATTTCTCAGCTAGGCTTGAATTTGTAATCTTCCTGCCTAGGTCTCCCAGAGTGCTGGGATTACAGTTGTTCACCATCACACCCAGGTTTGAATGAGGTTCTCATGACCTAGCTCAGGCAAGGTAGGTCAGAGAATTCCCTTATAACCACACTTCACCTGGAAAGGCTGGAGACCGATAAAAGAGAGATCTTGCTGTTTCTGTGGTTTTCTCAATTGCCAAGGTCCCTGTTTTAGGATATCATTTTCTAGGTACCAACACTTGATTCCCATCTCTTACCTGGATGAGTGAGTTTTTCATACAACATGTTCCCTGAACACAAACCTAACACTGGTGTTTAGCCAAAGCCACAGTGAACTGTTTAACGATGGAAGAAGAGGGCTACGTTTACATAAAGAAAGATAATGTCCTAGTTCCCAGTATGTTCCAGTGTTTGGGCTGGGATGTAGCTTGGTGACAGAGGGCTTGCTTAGAATGCACTAGGCCCAGGGCTCAATCCCCAGCACTGCAGAAGCAAAACAAACAAAAAAAGAAAACCCAATATGAGGCCATCTGAAAATATGGGAGGTTTTAACTACACTATTTTTGCCAGGCATGATGGCACATCCCTGTAATCCCAGCACTTTGGGAGGCTGAGGCAGGAGGCTCGATGTGAGTTGGAGGCCAGCCTAGGGTCCACAGTGAGTTCAAAGCCAGCCTGAACTACATAGTGAGACCCTGTCTCAAAAAAACAAAATAAAAACAATAACAAAAATCTACACTGTTTTTACCTTAAGCATTGACATTAACAGCCTAACCTCAGGAAAAAGAAGACTCCACCGTTCAGAAAGGGCCAGCCATTGCTTGCTGTGTCCACATTCTCTCCCACTGCCTAGTTTGCATGTCTGATCACAAGACATGCTCAGTCAGACCTGCCTGCCTTTCGGAGGGCTACATACTCAAATATAAGATATGATGTTGGAATTCACTTTAAAATACACCAATTAGAAAGGGAGAGAGCCAGCGTGTGGTGGCCCGTGCCTTTAATCTCAGCCACTCACAAAACAGTGAGACCCTGTCTCAAGAAAAAAAAAAAAAAGTCTGGGGCTGGAGATTTAGCTTAGTGGTTCCGAGTTTGATCCCTGGTACCAAAAAAAAAAAAAAAGCTGAATGGAGAACAACGAAAAAATTTTATTTATTTTTGAGACAGGTCTTGCTAAAGCACCTAGTTGTCCAGCTGGGGAACAATTCTGTCTCTCTCTCTCTCTCTCTCTCTCTCTCTCTCTCTCTCTCTTTCTTCTTTAGGGTTGTTTTTTTTTTTTCGTACCAGGGTTCAAACTCAGGAACGAAGCATTTGCCATTCTTTTGGTTTTTTTTTTTCTTTTGGTTTTTTGAGACAAAGTTTCACTGTGTAGTTCAGGCTGGGCTTGAACTCATGGCAATCCTGCTGCCTCAGCCTCCTGAATTCTGGGATCACAGGCGTACACCACGATGGGCTGTCCAGCTATTTTTGTTTGGTGTTTTGTTGTTATTGTTTGTTTTAGGTTTTTTTTTTTTTTTTTGAGACAGGGTCTTGATATGTAGTTCAGGCTGGCCTTGAATTCACTATGGAGCCCAGCCTTGCCTCAAATTCATAATATATGAACTTTAACTCGAGATATAATATCCCTTGCTTTTTCTCTGCAATTACTGCGATAGATCAGTTATGCTCAAAACAAACCTCTGAGGAAGGTCCTAATATCACCTTCGGTTGCAAAGATGGAAATAAGAGCTGGCCGAGGTGATGCACATCTGTCATCCTAGCACTAAGGAGGCTGAGGCAGGAGGAACTCCGGAGCCAACCTGAGCTACATAGTGAGTTCAAGGCCATCCTGAACAACGTAGCCAGACTGTGTCTCAAACACAATACGGAAATAAGGCTCAGATGCAATCACTCCAGATAGAACAAGGAGTTCGAACCCTGGTTTAACTTTGCCCCTACCCTCTACTCGCGCTCTCCAATACTAGCCCGGTAGGGAGAGATCCCGGAAGGACGCGCACTCCCTAGTACTGCGGTTCTCTCCGCTTGGGCCGACAGAGCTGCGAGACGAGGGCAGCCGCACCCGCGCGGGACCGGGTCACCGTGTCCCGGCGCCGCATTGGACGCACCCGACTCCCTCCCCCCCATCCCCGCCACGTTCCGCAGCTGTGGTGCGTGGCGGGCGTGGCTTGGGATTCCCCGGAGGGAGGGCAGTGTGTCCGTCCTTGGCGGAGAGGGGAGGTGACTCCAGCTGCCGCCCGCCGCCCGCTGAAGACAGGATGAGGGCCCTACTGGTGAGGGCCCCTGCGGGCCGGACCAGGGCCCCCAACCCAGAAGCCCTCACCCTAACACGGGACTCCTGACTTGCGGGATCGGGGGCCTAGGAACGTGAGCCCCCTTCAGGATCTGGGGCTCCCTGCTGAGCAGCCTGGGACCCCCCCTCCCCCAACCCCAAGCTTCGGGGACTGCTGGCCCACCAAGGGGCCCCAGAGCCGCGGGTTTAAACCTGCTCCCTTCAGCCAGAGTTTCTCTAACTTCACTGGGAACCCTACCCCTATCCAGGAGGGGAGCGCGTGCCTGTATGTTTGTGATGTGTGTGTAACTAGAGGTTGAACTCTAGGCCTTCACATTGAGCTACATCCCCAACCCCTTTTGGGGGGGGGGTACCAGCGATCGAACTCGGGGCCTTGCGTTTGCGAGGCAGGCGACGGAACTACTGAGCTAAATCCCCGGCCTCCCCAACCCTTTTTATATTTATTTGTGGTTTTTTGAGACAGGGTCTTGCTCTGTGGGTCAGGCTGGCCTCGAACTCGCAGTAATCCTCTTGCCTCGGCCTCCTGAGTGCTGGAATTACCCTTTTTATTTTGAGATAAGGTCTCATTAAATTGCCCAGTGTGGCCTCCAACCTGGGATCCTCTTGCTTCGCCCTTCCTGGTGCTGTGACAAAGGGTGCGCGCCACCACACCGGGCCGGCACTCTTCTTGACAGGAGGGCCCTCCCCGTCATCACCCTCGCCCTCGCCCTCGCCAGCAGTTCCGACCTTGCCTTTGAGACCCTCCCCAGTTGGGACCCCCACGTCCCGGCTTCAAACAGAAGGATCACTCCCACCCCCGCCCGCCGGGCCCACTGGGGGTCACCCCTCTGGGCGCCAGCAACCCCTCCCCTCCTATCCCCGAAGGTCTCCCAAGCGCTGATTCGGTCCTTCAGCTCCAGCTCCCGGCACCGCTTCCAGAACCGGGTGGCTGAGAAGCAGAAACTCTTCCAGGTGAGCTAGGAGGGGGGCGGGGCCTCCAAGGAGAGGGCGTGGCCTCTAAGGGATCCTGGGATGCTGTCTGCAGAGCAGTGAGCACCCCTTCCCTAACCGACACCCCACACCCAGGAGAACAATGACCTCCCTGTGCACCTGAAGGGCGGGACCACCGACAACGTCCTGTACCGACTGACCATGGCGCTGACTCTGGGGGGTGAGTGCTTGGTGGGGACAAGGCTGGCCGTGACCTACTCAGGGTTTAGGTTGCAGGTCCTAATCAATGAATGGGGGGGGGTATCCCGCCAGGAGTCCTGTTTGGAAGGGAGCTGGTGCCTGAATTGGACTGGGATCCAGGCTGTTGATGGGAAACTGCAGAGGGTCTTAAAAGCCTAAGAAGAGGCTGGGACCGGAAGGAGGGGGTTGAGGTCTCATTCCCTGACCCTCACTCCCTTCCTAGGCACTGCCTACAGCTTGTACTGCCTTGGCTGGGCCTCCTTCCCCCACAAGAAGTGAGACCAAGAAGCCCAGAGGACTGGGGGACGTGGACAAACACCAATAAACGTGCAGGCTTCTTGGGAACCCAGCCAGCTCTGGTGTCTGTGTGTGTGTGCTCGTCCCAGCCCATCTTCCTGCCAGCCAGGGATGTCTGCTGCCCTAGCCCTTAGTCCCTCAAGTAGCCCCAGGGCTACTCCTAGGCTACTCAGCACTGCACTGAAGACTCCAAGCCCTGGGCTGCCTCAAACTTGGGGCCTGAGGACCTGGAGTGGTGTCCGTAAGTGAGACAGTGCCTTATATCCCAGGAGGGCAGCCCTTCCCTCTGCAGAGGCCCAAGAGGGGAGGAGAATGCTGAGCCTGGTCCAGGACACAACAGAAGCAGAGCCAAGTAAGGACAGATTGGTTCAAAGACTGAAGCTAGAGAGGATGGACATGCACTCTAGGAGGCTGAGGCAGGAGGACTGCAAATTCCAGCCCAGGCCAGGCAACTTAGCAAGATTGTCTCAAAATAAAAAGATTGGAGATGCAGTTCAGCATGAAGACCCTGGATTCAATCCCATTTTGGGGGGTAATGGGGATGTAGCTCAGTATGCAGACCATGGGGTCAATCCCATTCTTTTTTTGAGATGGGATCTAGCTATGTAGTTCAGGCTAGCCTTAGACTCACAGTAATCCTCCTGCCTCACCCTCCAGAGTGCTGGGATTATAGGTGTTACAGGTGTGTACCCTCATGCCCAGTACTGCAAAAGAAAGAAAAGAAGAGAAAAGAAAAAAGAAAGAAAGAAAAAGAGAGAGAGAGAGAGAGAGAGAAAGAAAGATAGATAGATCAGGTGCAGTGGTACACACCTAAAATCCCAGCACCGAGGGAAACTGAGGCTGGAGGACTGCAAGTTCAAATGTCCCACCAGGTCAACTTAGTGAGACCCTGTCTCAAAATTAAAAAAAAATTAAAATGTCTAGGGATGTAACTCAGTGGTAGAGTGCCTCTAGGTTCAATTCCCAGTATCACACACACACACACACACACACACACACACACACACACACACACACACCCCACGGTGGGGACGCCCTGGGAGATAGAGGCAGGGGTCATTGAGATCTCCTACCAGACTGGGATTTGGCTACAGCACCTGAAATCAGCAAGAACCAGGGATCTCAGCAAGAACCAGGCTATAGCTGAGTGGAACCCAGTGTAAGAAAAAAAAGATGTAGAGGAGAGAAGGAATGTGAGACATCCAGATCCAGCCCCAAGACAGGCATTAACCCCACCCACTCTCCAGGACCCTCACTACTTCCCCAGAGCCCAAGCCACCCCTCACCTCTCAGAACAGAAGGCAGATCCCATAGGGAGCAGCAACTGGGGCACATTTATTTCCTCCTGGGCCTGGCCCGCTGGGAGCAGAGTACAGGCAAAGGCACAGAGATATGTGGGCCTAATGACTGGAGTTTATTTGGCTGCCTGGGTGGTAACTGTGAATGAGTATGCCAGGGACTTGAGTGATCCTCCAGAACTGAGATGGCCCTTGGGGCACGGAAGCAACACAAGTAGTGGGCTTGGTACAGGTACAGAGAAAGGTAATGGAGAGGGTGTGAGATGGGTGTGGTGACCCTTGGGCAGAGCATATGAGGATGTCATAGAGCCAGGGTAACTCAGGGCATGGCATGTTGGGGCATGTGGGGACCCGGCTGCTGACTGAGAAGCTGGGTGCCAAGGGCTGGGGGAAAAAAGGCCTGTGGGAATAGGACCTATGCATATGTGACTGCAGACAGATGGGCCCTGGGAGGATGGGTCCATGTTGGCTCCTACAGCAAGGCGCAGCTTGGAGTCTCGATCAAGAATACATAGTCAGCTGCAGCCACTGGAAGAAGGAGGCACAGAGTGAGGAGCAGGGAAGGCCTGAGTGGCAGATGCTTCGCCCAGATATAGGATCGAGGGAGGGGGACCTCAGAGCTGATCACCCACACCTGAGGATGGGGTTTCTTACCTCTTGGATGTTCACCTGGATTTGTCCTGTGCCATCTTTATCAAGAGATTTGAAGGCACCTAGAGGAGAAAGGAAGGTTTTAGTGGGGAGGAGGGGGGTTGCTGGCTTTTAGGATAATAATATACACAAAATAATAATAGCTAGGACTTCATTGAGTATTTACTACACGCCAACCACTGTGTAAAGTGCTCTCCATATATTAATTATTTTATTTTAATTATTAATTTTTTTTTGGTACTAAGAATTGAACACAGGGCCTTTGCACTAAAGCCCTCAGGGATGTCTTAAGGGTTCAGAACATTAATGCTTATAAATGTCCTCATGGGGCTGGGTGCTGTGGTACATGACTGAAACCCCAGCTACTCAAGAGACTGAAGCAGGAAGATCAAAAGTTCAAGGCCAGCCTGGGCAACTTAACTTAGCAAGCTCTTTTCTCCAAATAAAAAATAAAAAGGGCTGGGAGTGTAGCTCAGTGGTAGAGTACTCTCACATTTAATCCCCTGTACCAAAAAAGAAAAAAGCCTTCACTGGGGCTGGGATATAGCTCAGTGATAGAATTCATGTTTAGTTACCACATGCAAGGCCCTAGCAATCTCAAGCACCACACAAAACAAAGCCCGCATGACCTGGTCCCTACTGAGCCTCCCAGTCCTCTGCCTCCTCATCCCACCCCTCTTCAGCCCTCTTAGAAGTAAGAGTCCAACAAAAAGCCCCAAAAGCACAGTCTTCTCTTTCCTTTTAGGCCTTTCCATGGGCCAGTTTCTTGGCCCACAACTTTCTTCCCTGCCCTTTCACTGGGTTTACTCCTGTTTGTCTTTCAGGTCGATACTTGCATGGGTCCTTACCCTCAGAGCCCTCCCTGGTCCCCTGGGTGGTATCAGTTGCCTCCTGTGTCCGAAAAGGCCCCTGGGCTTCCCTCAGGCTCCCAGATGCTGGCCACATGAGTCTAGGTGACTGTCAATAGACAGCCCCAACTGTGAGCTCCATGAGGGTAGGAACTGGAGCCATTTCGGTCACTGCTGCGCCCCTAGCCTTGCCCATCTCAAGGTCAGGCTTAGAGACCTTGGCTAGTGGAGGTAGAACAAATCCCCACCCAAGGGGAGAGCTGGGGTGTCACTCACGGAACATGGCATCCAGCCTGACCAAGCAGCTGATGAAGTTGTCGAAGTCCATGTTCCCTCCCTCGTCAGAGTAGCGCCGGATGATCATGTTATAGAGATGTTCATTCAGGTGGAACCCTGGGAATGGTTTAGCCCCTTAGGTGTGAAGGCCACATAGCCCAATCTACTCTCATTCCCAGGATTCAGGCTCAGGCCAATGCAGTTGCATCATCCCTTGCCCAACACACACATACCAGGTCCCTGCCAGACCCACCTGCTGCCTCAAAGGCCCCTGGGAGTTCACTGCTGCAGATGGTCCCAGATCGGTCAATGTCAAACCGTTTGTATATGGCCTATGCGGATGGAGAGGACAGTGTCCAACTGAGCACCATGGAGCACGGGGTCTCCATGGCTTGGGGGTCTGAGTGCAAGGAGTTTCAGAGGCTGCTATATACCTGCCACTTTTTGATATTGTTCCACAAGTACTTGAACTCCTCAAAGCCCAGCTTGCCTGTGGTGTCGCTCTGGCAGGAAGTCATTAAGAATAAAATGAATGTAATTATTATGTATCATAAACATTAAAAAAAAAATTGGGCCTGGGGTTTAGCTCAGTGGTGCCATGCCTGCCTGGCAAGCACAAGGTCCTAAGTTCAATTCTTGGTATCCCCCCACACCCCCCAAAAAAATCACATAAAAAATAAAAATAAAAGAACAATGTGACAGATGTGTGCACTGTAATGAACTAGGCAGATGACAATATGGCAAATCAGGCAACCTGGGCTAAAATGCCATCTCCTATTCAATACTCCAATCCTGACACCTGAGTTATGGTTTTATTTTTTGTTTTATCCACATTTTTTCCTTTTTGGTTTTTTGAGACAGGGTCCTGCTATGTCCAGGCTGGCCTCAAGCTCACAGCAATCCTCCTGCTGCAGCCTCCCCAGTGCTAGGATTATATGCGTGTGGCACATTTGGCTATCTACATATATTTCTAAACAAAAATTCTCTTCAAATATAACCATAGGAGATCATATTGTACTTCTCCAAACTACAAGGCCCTCACCTGAAAAGAATTGGTAAGTTCTCATTTATAAAATCCTTAACAGCAACTCAGTACCATAAATGTTAGGGTGTGTAAAAAACCAGTGTCTTAAAATTCCAAAGGAATAAAGTGATAGAAAGTACATGCTGGGTTTGTGATAAAAATTAAATAACTGGGGCCAGGAATTTAGCTCAGTGGCACTGCACCTGCCTCAAAAGCACAAGGTCCTGAGTTTGATCCCCAGTACCAAAAAAAAAACCCAAAACCAAAAAACAAAATAACTGTGCTAAGCTCCCAGGCACTTCACTTTCCCACTGAGCCCTCAGGACACTACCCCTCTAGGATTATTCCTCAAGAAAAAAACAGATTGCAAGATGAAAAACCTGAGTAAAATCACAATAACAGTTACTGTGTACAGATTACTTACTATGTGCCATAAACTGTGGTAAACCTTTTATATACAGCTCCATTTCACTGTCACCATTATCACATGACCCATTTTAGACAAGAAAATTGAGACACAGCCGTCAGTAGCCTGGCTGAGTAGAGCTAGGATTACTTACCCTATGCAATACATGTCTGATCACATGACATGTACATATATGTGTGAGCCTGTACTGCCTATACGCTAGGTGTCATATATCCAAGATTGACTAAAAACTGGCCCTCATGCAAGCACACGTGTGTTCCTGGGTACTGTATGTATATTCATGTGCTTGTGGATTTTATAAGCTTGAATCCTAAGCCCAAAAGACGTGGGTCCAAATTCCTATACTGCTAGTTACTACTTTTTTTTTTTTGATACCAGGGATCAAATTCAAGACCTTGCACTTGTGAGGCAGGTGCAGCACCACTGAACTAAAATCCCTTACCTGAATTACTTTTTTTAATGGTACTGAGGCCAGGCATGATGGTGCACACCTGTGTTCCACAGCACTTGGGAGGCTGAGGTAGGAGGATCACTGCAAGTTCGAGGCCAGCCTGGGCTACACAGTGAGTTCAAGGCCAGCCTGAACTACAAAGTAAGACCGTTTCAAAAAGTAAAAAAATCAAAAGTAGTATAAAAATTGTCTGTCCATCAAAAATCTGTGAAGCTTCAGTTCATTAACCTAAATGCTAGCTGTTATTTGTCACATGTCTGTAGGTAAGTGTGTGTTCTGATGTATGCACGTCCATGACTTTGGATATAAAAGCTGTACCCTGGCCATCCAGAACATACTCTCAGAAAATCCCCTCTTCACCCAGGGCCTCTCCCAGCCTGCCCCCAAAAGGATACATCCATCACAGCCACCATGCTTCGACACGTGTCCAGGGCAAAACCATCGGTTTTTAGATCAGGGTCTGTGGGGCACAGGATGAAGGTCAGAGGCTAGAGATCACAGCCACTCCAGCCCCCAGGTCTTGGTACTTGTCCCAGGCCTTGACCCCAGTCACTCACGTCGGGTCACAACTTTGTTGAGAATGTTCATGAGTTCTGTGGCACTGACCTCCATGTCCTGTAGTTAGAAAAGTGGCTCAGAAGAGACATAGGCTTGAAGAATGGGAACTCTGGGATTGTCGTGGTCAAGTATGTGCGTGCCGAGGCAGACCGAAGAAAGGAATGGAAGGATTAGGACAGGGCCAGGGACTCTAGGTTACTTACATCTCCAGCCAGCTGGGTAAAGAGTCGCCGGAACTGCCGGACCTCCTCACTCTCGTTGGCCTCGATGTTGGAAAAATGGGTTCTCGGGGGCTAGAGAGAGCAGAACTCACAGCAGGTGTGGGGAATGGGCTCTGGCTCCCCACATCCAAGCACCCTAGGTGGCAAAGCCTGGGTGGGGTAGGCAGCCTGATTATCAGAAGAATAAGGGGTAGTCAGTGAACAGGAAGTGAGTCATGGCTGAGAACAGTGGCCAAGGACATGGTAAAGGTGGGACTTAATGGCAGAGGAACTTCATAAAGAAGGGGAGGATTCTCTAGGAACAGAGGTGGGGTCTGGAAAAGGGTTGAAAGAGAACAGCGAGTATTGTAGTGGGGAGCTTACCGGGGGCTCTGGGTTGTACTGCGCAGCTGCCTCGCTAAGAGGAGACAAGAGGGAGTTAGCGTCAGGGGGCGGGGCCGCCAACGGGCAGGGCCAATAGACCTGCAGACTCCAACCCCTCAAATCCCAGCCCCCACCCTCCTTACTTGGTCCTTCCACCCTTCCTCCGCCCCGTCCTCTTCTATCCCATCCACATTGCCCATCTCTCCCCCTACTACTCCAACTCTACCCGCCCTTCCAGCCTCATGGTAGAATCTACTCCTGCTAAGGTGCATCCATCCATTGGCAGATGTCAGGATCGTCTTGGCCCCATTCAACATCAACCCGAAATCCCACCTAGATTCAACAGGTCCCCCCCTTCCAGGACTCAGTATCAAGGCCCTGCCACAGGTTCCCAGGGCCTCATCTTCACCGGTTCCCATCTGCTCAAAAAGCCTATTTCATCATTCCCCTTCCCAAGCATCTGTCTTCCCAACATCCTACCCGAGTTTCAGCAGTTCCCACTTCTTTGAGAGATCACTGCTTGGTGACCATGGCTAATTTGGCACCATCCGGGCATTTTTCTCCATCAGTCCAGCCAGGCCCAAGCAGGCCTGGACTCTTCTGAGCTGTTTCCCCTGTCCTCATTTTTCTTTTTTTTTGGTACCGGAGATCGAACTCTGGACCTTGCGCTTTCGAGGTAGCCGGCGGAACCACTGAGCTAAATCCCTGGCCCTCCCCTCTTTAGGCCTTGGTGTCTCCTGGCCCCAACTCCTCACTAACAGCTAGTACACCCTAATTTAAGTCCTAGCCTCACGAAGTGTCGCCAAACTCCTTGGCTCTTGCTCTTTAACATTAGTCCTCAAGTTAGCCAAGGGAGGGCGCGCCCAGTGCCCAGCCGCATTAAACCCCACCTCCCTGACTCCGGACCTAGCCCTCAGGTCCCACATCCCATTCTTCGACCCGCTGGAACTCACAACGCCCCCACCCCGCGGAGCCCCGCCCCCACATCTAACATCAACCACGACAGGATCCACCCTTCCAGCTTGGGCCAGCCCAATTAAGGCTCCCAGGTCAGTTTCCAGGTTAATCCTATTCTATTCTAGTTGGACCCGCCCCCCCGGCAGGCCTCGCCTCACCTGATGGCGCTAATGACTCCGCCCAGGATGCGCATGGCTGTGCCACCGCCGCCACCACCACCTCCGCCGCCGCCTCCGCCGCCCCCGCCGCCCCCGCCGAGGAAGCCTCCGATGACGTCCCCCAGTCCCCCACCCAGGCCCCCGCCGCCTCCTCCGCCGCCGCCGCCCTTCAAGAACGAGTTAACCAGGAACATGGCTGCGATCCTGAAAGGGGAAAAGAGGTCAGATAGCTGCCTCGCCCCTGAGCCCGCTCCCTCCTGCAGAAATATGTATTTCCGGCAGCTGGACGTGGAGGAAGAATCTGAGGCCTCGGGGTGGAGGCAGATGCTCAGGCTAGGGGTTTGGGTTTCGGGGAGAAGGAGGTGCTAGGATAGGCAGGACGGGAACAGAAGATCGGGTTTGAAACCCCTTGGGGACTAAAAGGTACCCGCCGGGTTTTAGGGACCTTGGATTGAGTGCATGCACAGACATCGTTAAGGACAGGGGTATAAGCCTGGCGTGGTGGCGCATGCCTGTAATCCTAGCACTTCAGTTGGCTGAGGCAGGAGGATCCCAAGTTTGAGCCCAGCCTGGTCAATTTTGTGAGACTCTGTCTTAAAAAATAAAAATAAATGAATTTTAAAAAGGAAAAAGGGGGAGGGAGGTCTGGAGTTGTATCGCAGTGCAAAAACCCTTGGCTTCAATCCCCAGTACCAAGGAGGAAATGAGGGAGGCAAGCGGAGGTACAAGGTCCGGTGGGGTCCTCCAGATGGGGTCTCAAATTGGTGTAAAGAGAGTATTCAATGTCTAGGCGCTAGAATCTGAGATCCAGAGCCCCAGCACTGACCGCAGGGGTCTTTGGCAGGTTGAGGGCGCAGATCTGAGATCTCGGCCTGGAGGCCCCGGGGCGGGGTTTAAGAAGTTCTGAATGTGGGTCTGAGCATTTAGGCACGCTCAGCAGCGGGATCAGTCACCGCTGATCTGTGGGCTCGGATCTAAATTCGAAGCTCCGAAGCCCAGAATAATGGGGTTCCCACTAAAAGTAGGGGCACGGGTTTAGGGATCGTGGCCCCAAGAAAGAATTTACAGGGTGCGTTTCAAACCTATGAGGCAGTATTTTAGATTATAAAACCGGAGGTTGGGAGTGGTCCCCGAGATGATACAAGAGTCGTGTAGGCCTGGGGGTTTGGATCTCGGAGGATCCCAGAAGTCGGGACTGTAGGGTCTCGGTGGGTCTGGGGGGCTGCGGGTGCGAGGGAAGTCTGGGCCGGGCGCTCACCGCCTCACTTGCGCGTCCTGCTGTCCTGCTGTCGGGCTCTCGGTGTAGCTCCCGGGCCTCCCGCAGCGTCCGGCTCCAGAGGGCGGGGCCGTGACTCAGGCTGCAGCTCCGGGTGAGACCCCGCAGGGAGCCCGCCAGTCGTCCGCGCGGTCCTAGAGCCCGCATTGGACTGCTAACTTCGCCTGCGCGGCATGGCCTCGCCCTACGTAACGGGTAGGGCCGCAGTGGCTCCGCCCTGAACGTTTCCGGCGCCGGAGGAGGTTCGAGCCCCGCCCAGGTTTAATAGCTATGCTAAATCTTCCTGGAACAGATAGCTGAGAGAGGGAACCCGGAGCCTTGGACCTCTGGGGTGACACTCCAGGGTCACAGTGTGAGTTTTCGTCCAGAGGCCTGGTTCCTCCCGGCCACCATTGGCAATTTTCGGTCTGCCCCCAGAGGGCTCAATAAGCCGCCCTTCTGGTCTTGTCACGACAAACTGCACCTACTGGGCGCGAGTTTCGTTTGGCTCACAACTTGAGGGACAGATGCCCCCGTCTGGCCCTGCAGCAGCCCGGGTGGCCGTCGAACCTGGTGTCTCAGTTGGTGACCTACGAAGGTCACCCTGTGCCATCTTTCACCACACCCCTTTCCCTGCACCTCCTGCCGAATCAGGGCCTCGACAGATTTTTTTTTTTCTTAAATGGCTCTAAAGTGTCGCCCAGTCTCTAAAGAGAGCCCCTGAGACAGGAAAAGTCCTTGGACTTTGGCCTCTTTTTTGTTTTTTTCCTTCAATACAGGGTTTGAACCCAGGGCCTTCTCACTGAGCCACATCCCCAGCCCCTTTTTAAAATTTATTCATTCTTTCAGTTAGTAATTGATGACAGGGTCTCGAAGCTGTCCAGGCTGGGCTCAACCTTGGAATCATCTTGCCTCTGCCTCTCAGAATGCTGGGATTACTAAGTCACTTGTTCCCAAGGTCCCTGAAGAGGGAGGAGGGAGGCAGGGAAACCACAGCTCAAGCCACTTTTGGATCCTTTCATTTGCCCTCCCACCTGTGAGTGTCCAGTCCTTTTTCTGGGCTCCATCTTTAAATAATAATGCCAAAAACAGCTCCTGAACACTTGCAATATATCAGCTAATTTATTCTCATGACAGCCCGATGGGATAGATGCCATTTATTATCCCCATTTTATAGAAAAGTAAACTGAACTGAGGTTAAACTCAGGCAGCCAGGCTCCCTAGCCTATACCCTTAACCACCACCCTCATGCAGTGGCTCTTCAATAATATTAATATGATAATAGCTCACATACCGAGATCATTGCAGACAAAACTAGTTGTAGCTAAGGCTTCCTCAGGGCTTGCTGGGGCCAGGCCAAGAAACTTCGACTCAAGTATTGTTCATGAAGCAAGATCTAGCAGGAGAGAAAATGGAGGCTGTGAACATTAGGGTCACAGATGGTGGCAGGACCAGGTCTGAACCTGGGCTTGGCTGATGATAAATCTCTTGGTGGTGACTCATCTGGATTCCCTTCTTACCACACCCTCCCTGCCAGACTGAGCAGCTTCAACTCTCTGTCCTCTCAGGCTCACTTGCTGTCAGGTCTGTGCACAAGCTGTAGCCTCTGTCTGGAACACCCCTTTTATTTTTTGTTTTTTACCTGATCGTGTATTTACTTAGCCTTTGGGTGTCAGCTCAGAAGTCTCCTCTTCTAGGGAGGCCTCCCTGCCTCCACAACCAACCAAGATTCAGTGAGGCTGCCAGTTTCATGCCCTCAAAACTGCTTGTAGCCTGGCATGGTGGTGCATGCCTATAATCCCAGCACTCAGGAGGCTGAGGCAGGAGGATTGCTGAGAATTTGAGATGAGTGTGCATTACATAGGGAGACTCTTGTCTCAAAACAAAACAAAACCTGCTTGTATGTTGAGCGTGGTAGTGCAAGTCTATAGTAGTAGCACTCGGAAGACTGAGACAGCAGAATTGCAATGAGTTCAAGGTCATCCTGGACTATATAGTGAGACCCTACCTCAAAAAATAAAACAAAAAAAAAAGCCAGGGATTTAGCTCAGTGCCACAGTGCCTGTCTTACAAGCACAAGATCCTGAGTTCAGTCTCCAGTACCCCCCCCAAAAAATCTCACCCCAGCCACCAAGTCTCTGCTGATGAGTCCTATCACCACGCTGCCCTCACTTCTGCCCCCTTGAGAATGGGCAAAGCCCCAGTAGCAGCTTGATCTGGATGTTCCCAGTTGAACCTGGACATGACAAGGAGGCTGGGTAGCACATAGTGTCCTTACAGCCCTTCCTGGCTCACATAGAATGCTCCTCCAGGGCCAGGGATTTAGCTCAGTGATTTCGCTGCCTGCTTTGCAAGTGCAAGGACTGGAGTTCGATCCCTGGTACCAAAAAAAAAAAAGAATGCTTCTCCACTACCAAGACCTTCTCTACCCCGGGGCTTCATGCTGCTCAAATTTATACATCTAGTGATCTCAGGAAAGACAATTCAGATCTCTGACTTGATCCCCACCCCACACACTGCTCTTTTCATTCATCACCTGCTGGCATATTGTATAGTTTACTTGTTTTGTGGTACTGGGGATTGAAGTCAGGGTCTTCAAACAGAAACAGTGCTATATCCCAGCCCTTTTTATTTTGATACAGGGTCTCACTAAGCCACAGATTACCCAGGCTTGGTTGAACTTCCAGTCCTCCTGCCTCAGCCGCTCAGAGTGTTGCAGTTAACAGGTGTGGTGGTGCATGTCTGGTTTACATGGTTTATTTATTAATCCAGTTTCTATGTCTTCTTCACTAGAATCTGAGCTCTTCAAAGATGAGGATTTTTTTGTTTGCCTCCTTCAGTGCTATTTACTTTTTTCATGCTCTCCCCTGCTGGGAGCACTGTGCAGTAGATTGCTATGACCATGTCTAACTCGGCTCCTCCTGCGGATGAGGCATGGGCCCTCGTGGAATGAGGTACATGCATCTTGTTCGCTTCCTCCTGTTCGCTTCCTCTGGCAGACGAGGCAGGCCCCCACCCACCCAGGACAGGCGACAGGAGGGTGTCTCGGAGCAAGACCTGGCCAAGAAGAGGACTGTTTTCCTCCCCACCCATTGGCCAGAGAAACATCAAACATGATGCCCGGGCCGGGGATTTAGCTCAGTGGTTCTGGCGCCTGCCTCGCAAGTGCAAGGTCCCAAGTTCAATCCCCCGTACCAAAAAAAAAAACCAAAAACATGATGCCCTGCAGCCCTTAGCTCCAGTTACAAACCAGCCCTTTTATCTCCCCCTGCACTTCCCCTACCTCTACCACTATAAATAAACGTGCTGCATTTGCCTGGGGTCTTTTCCTCCCATCGGGAGTTGGAGCCCCACCTATACCTTACTATATCGCTTTGTCTTTCTTAATCTCTCACCCTTGTTTCTCACTGGTGAGCCCTTCAGCCACGAGGGGTTGAGGGGTTGTGGCACTCCCCCACCTTCTTTTTTTTTTTTTTCTTCCCCACCTTCCATTTTACACATCTACTCTTTGCCCTGGAAAGTGCCCAAATAAAAGCTCTGGCCTTAGGAGAGAATAAATTAGACAGTAAGGCTAAGATTTCATTTCTTGGTTCACCTTGCTTTGAAAGAGTGCTAGCCTCAGCAGCACATACACTGAAACTTGCTCTGAAGGAGCAGCAGAGGGAGTCTCTGCTTCCTCCTCCCACTGGCGGGACCGGGGATGTCATGGGAACCATCCTGGACCACATGGGCCAGGCCAACTGCCACGGATAAAGCAGTCCAAGTTCCTGACGCTATGGAGCCTTAATACCAGCCTGAATTGGTTATGCTTAGCTTGCTATGGAAGAAAGAAAAAAAATTTTTTTTCAGACAGAATTTCACTATGTTCAGTAAGTCCCCAGCTTACAAATGAATTCTGTTCTGAGAGAACATGTTCATAAGTCCGACAATGTGAGTCTTAGACACCTCTGACACAAATATACCATATATATTGCTTTGAGCTTCCTAGCAGTCCCCTCCACATCACCACTGTTTTTCCTCTTGTTTCCGGACATCCTGGGCTCTGACTGAGCACTGTACTACTGTACACTGTCATACTGTACAGTAACCACACAGCAGCACAACTGTGACAGTGTCCAGCAGACAAGTGAGCTACTTCCAAGATTTGTTTGCATCTAGGAATGTTTGTAATTCGAGATCTGTTCATATCTGTGAAAGTTCACAACTCAAATGTTGGGGACTTCCTGTAGTTCAGGCTGGCCTTGAACTCACTATGTAGCCCAACCTCACCCCAAACTCACCTCAATCCTCTTGCCTCAGCCTCTGGAGTGCCAGGATTATAGGCATGCACCACCACACCCGGGTGGGAGAAACAAAACTATTTTATTTAATACACTGGATCTTGAGTTCTGTTGTAGGGTTAGTATTAAATCCTATCTAACCTATAGTGCCCCTTAAACACAGCCTGAGCAATTTTCCATGTCCCTAAAAATATTTTCAGCTGGGCACAGTGGCACATGCCTATAATCCTAGCATTTAGGAGGATGGCAAGTTCTCATCCTATGTAGGCAACTAAGCAAGACCCTGCCTGAAGAAAAAAATATATATTTCTTGTGTGTTTAAGATAGTCCACCATCTCAACACTATGAGACATTTGTTTTTCATTCATCCACTCAACCAATATTTATTGAGCATCTACTAAATCCAGCCCCTGGGGTCAATGATAGAGATGCAGTGGTGAACAAAACTCAGAGAGCTCACACCCTTCAGGTAAATGGAGGGAGACAAGCACTAAAACAACTAAAGCAACAACATAACCCCGCTGTACTCACTGGTTGTCAGCTGAACAGATACAGGTATATAGGAGGTGGTGAAAGCCAGAGGGAAGGCTAGGGGTGTAGCTCAGTGCTGCCAAGGCCATGGGGTTCAATCCCCAGTGCCAGAAAATAAAACAAAACGTGTTCTTCGTGGCAAGGTGGGGAGGGCTGCTTAAAAAACTTGACCACCAAGTTTTGATATCCCATCCATTAAGATCTGGGGTCTTCTGGGTACGGTGGTACACACCTATGATCCCAGCAGGCTAGCCTGGGCAATTTAGCAAGATCCTGTCTCAAAATAAAACAAGGATCCAGGTTGATGCCATGTGCCTGTAGTCTGAAGCAGATATGAGATTCCAACTGTTTTAAGCCAAACAT